ATACATATATACATATATACATATATATATAAATATATATATACATATATATATAAGATGGAATATTATTCAGCTATAAAAGAAGGAAAGCCTGCCATGACAATGTGGATGGGCCTTGAGGGCATTATGTTAAGTGAAATAAGTCAGAGAAAGACAAATACCATAGGATTTCTCGCACACGTGGAATCTAAAGCAAAACAGAATGGAACTCTTAGACACGGAGAACAGATTGGTGGTTGCCAGAGGCAGGGGTTGGGGGGTGGATGGAATGGGGATCAAAAGTTACAAACTTCAGTTATAAAATAAATAAGTCCTAGGGATGTCAGGTACCGCATGGAGACTATAGTTCATAACACTGTATGATGTACTTGGAAGTTCCTAGGAGAGTAGATCGTAAAAGTTCTTACAAGACATAAGGTTTGTACTTCAGATGGTGACGGAAGGTAACTAGACTAATTGGGATCATTTCACAATATATACAAATATCAAATAATGATGTTGTACACCTGAAACCAATATAATGTTATATGTCAATTATATCTCAGAAAAGGAAGAAGAAGAAGAAGAAGAAGAAGAAGAAGAAGAAGAAGAAGAAGAAGAAGAAGAAGAAGAAGAAGAAAAGGAAAGAAGGAAGGGAGGAAGAAAGGAAGGAAGGAAGCTGAGTGAGTGGAAGGACAGCTTCCTGGAGAGGTGGCCCTTGAGCTGGACCCTGAAGGTGGGCTGGATTCTCATGAGCTCAGATGGAGAATGTGTGCAGATGGAGGAGACTGCATGGGCAAAGGCACAGTCTGGAAATGCAGGGCATGGGCAGAGAATGATGGCCATTCAGAGGGGGCCAGAGGAAGCACAAGGTGGGTGAGGGTACCTGGGGCCAGCTGAGGAAAGGATCCTCCTGAAGGTAATAGGGAGCAATGGAGGGTGTGTGAGCAAAGGAGGTCATGATGAGATCTGAGTGTCAAAGAGACTCCAGAGGCTAGCTACAGGGCAAGAGTGGAGGCCAGGCAGGAAGGGTGATGGATGTAGAGACAGTGAAACTGATTTGGGGGTCATGTTCCCCGAGGAGAAGGCTGCTTTCTCTCCTGACCTGGGGAATAAACTCACCAACTTCCACAGGCTGCCGGCTGTCCTGTGCCGGAACTGCACCTCGGCGCCATCCTGGCGGGCTGGGGTCTCCCACTTCAAGAGCACCTGCCCCGCGGACCCAGACATGGTGATGTCTCTGGCTGACGGAGGGTCATATTTAACTGGGAGCAAAGATGGGGGTTGGGGAGGGGAGCCAGCATATGTGCGAGTTATTGGTCCTGAAAATTTCAGAAAATCTGCCCCACCCAGCCCAGGATAACCGACCGAGTCCCCAATATGTGCATCAGGGAAACCCTTACAGGTTCCATCTAAGCCTGGGATTCTATGGATCCAAGATTCAAGACTAACACTCCTTGTAGCAGCATTTTGGTGAGACAGGCACTTTTGTGAATTGCTGACGAGGATAATTAATTGAATCTACTTTTTTAAGAGGACTATTAGGGAAATCTTACTAATTTTTTAGACCCAGACCTAAAGAGAAACATCTATCATTCTTTCTGCATCTTGGTCGTACCATGCCTGATTCTACCTCAGGGCCTTTGCACTTGCTGTGCCCTTGTGCCCTCTGCCTGGAACACACTTCTCAACACTTTATTCTTTTTTTTTTTTTTTAATATTTTTTTTTTTTTTTAAGATTTTATTTATTTGCGAGAGAGAGAATGAGAGACAGAGAGCATGAGAGGGAGGAGGGTCAGAGGGAGAAGCAGACTCCGTGCTGAGCAGGGAGCCTGATGCGGGACTTGATCCCGGGACTCCGGGATCATGACCTGAGCCGAAGGCAGTTGCTTAACCAACTGAGCCACCCAGGCGCCCTCAACACTTTATTCTTGTTGGATCCTTTTTTATCCTTCCAGGCTCAACTTGAGCTGGAGGCCTCCTTGACCTCCCAGCAGTATCTCCTCATATGTAATAATCATTCCTGTTCATCACTCCCACTTGAATCTGGGCTCCATGAGGGCAGAGACAGGGACAGGACTCCAGGGAGGCAAGAAAGACAAGGCTGTACAAATACACGGTTGGATCCTGTCTTCATCTTAAAATTTGATATTTTGTTCATCATGGATTTTTTGGCATTAGTTTTGATTTTTTTAAAAATATTGCTTTACAGAATTACTTATGTTGACTACTGAGTTTTTTGGCACCCCCTTACAATTTCGTGCCCAAGGCAGGTTCCTCCCCCACCTCACCCTAATTCCAGCCCGGAGCTGCAAACTTTGCTGGCCTCACTCATGTACCCTGTGACTCAGCGTAGCAGAGTAGGAGTGCAAATTCTAGATGTTATATGTACGTGGTTGCGTCGTGAAAACAGATATTGAAGACCCAAAAAGGTCCTGGCAGTATTACAGTTTCAGGGAGAAACCAGAAGCAACCGAAGTATCCAGCAGCTGGGGATTGGCGAGGGGACCGTGAAAAACTCTGCCATGTCCCGCAACAATGTCTGATGTGAAAATCGTTGGCATTATCAAGCCCCTGGCCCAAATCTGCACAGGTCTAGGCTCAGGAACCAGAGGCGTCTGTGGGTGAGGAAGGGGCAGCAGGGAGGAGGAGGAGAACAGGGTGCTGACCTGTGCTATGAAGCTTCAGGGTGATCTTAGGCGACTTCTGCGTCTGGTTCTCGGCTCGAGATTCCACCCAGAGCGTGACAAGTTGGAGCACAGCTACGCCGTCCTGGTCAGAGAACTGCAGGCTGGTGGCTGAGCCCGCAGCAAAGTAGCAGCAGTGCTCGGACTTGAGGCTGCGCGAGGGGAGTGTTGGTGCTGAGTTTGGGGTCCTAGGGACCCGCAGGGTGGCTCAGCAGCCCCAGCAGATGGTGCACATCACATCCCAGCATCTTCTTCTGCCCCTTTGACTCCCCCCTCCCCAGCCTGGGGACTCTATGGGGATCAGCCCTGCAACTGAGTGGTTTGGGGGACCCCAGAATCTTGCAAGATGGGCTGCCATAGGCGGAAGGAAGAAATGAATGAATGGATGGAAGGATGGACAAATGAGTGAGCAGGTGAGGAGGAAGGAAGGACTAGAAGGACCTTAATTGCCACCCAACCTGGATGCCCACCTATGCTGACAGCCCCCCCAAATAGAGTCCTCACCTTCCCTTCTCACATGAGACACTCAGCCTCCAGGAAGAGCAAGGACTCTGCTAAGATCACACTTCTGAGAGCAGGGGAATGGGGGCAGGAGCAAGTGCGGGATGATGTGTGAGGGTTTGGGGACTGGGGCAGGGTCCTCACCAGCACCTCAGGAAGTGGCTGACCCCAGCCGTGGGGCCCTCATACTTCCAGGAACATTCATAACCAGCGCTGACTATCCGGTAGCAGGTCAGGTCCTTGGGGCCTGAAGCCGAGCCTGGAGGAGATCCCAGAGTTTTGAGAATGGACCAAGAGTGGGGAGGGGGGCCCTCCTTGCTGGTGCGCGCTCAGGATGAATCTTTGTGACATTTAAGTAATCCGGTGTCAACCTCAGCCTCAGCCCACTCCCAGCACCCTCCCTGCGCCTTTGCCTCCTGTCTCCTGCCTTCTCCCCTGCTCCCCCTGCTCCACCCACACCAGCCTCCTCACCAGTCCTCAAACACACCGGGCTCACTCCCATCTCAGGGCCTTTGCACATGCTGTGCCAGCTGCCTGGAATGCTTTTCCCCCAGATCTTAACATTCCAGTTTCTCCTTCAGTGTCACCTCCTTGACCACCAGCCAGCCTGAAGCAGCCCCTTCCTCCATCCCCCACCTTCCTCTGTCTGGTTTCTCATAGCACATTCTGGTATGCTATCTGTGTGTTTGTTTGCCTTTTATCCACTTCCCACACTAGGCTGTGACCCCAGGAAGTCAGTTGGGCTTGCAGCTGATTCTTTCACACCTAGAACTGTGTCTGCACAGTAGGTGCTCGGTAAATAGTTCTTGCACAAGAGAATGGACGAAGTGCCTGCTCAGTGGCAGACCCTTGGTGGGGTCCCCCAGGACACCCGAGCTTGGTGAGGACAGGACAGTAGGCTGTCTGAAAGTAGGCTGACAGTAGGCTAGACCTCAGGTGGGCCTGAATCTTTGGCTGGGCAGGAGGGAGCTAAGAGAGGAGCTGCTAGGGAAGGATCAGTCAGAACGCAGCATGACCTCTCCCCACAACAGGGAACTGTCCCAGACCTGAGTCTGCATCCGGATACGGCGGGTCCTGAAAACAGCACCCACTGGTACTGCAGGCTTCAGCTGCAAAGACAACGAAGAGATAATGACATTCCCAGTCTTTCACTGCATGGGGAAGGGGCTCAGGCTGGGGGCTTGCCAAGCGACCATCCATCCACCCATCCGCTCTCCCATCTATGGATTCACCCACCCAGCCTCCCACCCATCCACACATCCAACCTTCCACCCATCCACCCATCGTGCATGCATGCATTCATCTGTCCTACTATCCATCCATCCATCCATCCATCCATCTATCCATCCACCCATCTACCCATCCATCCACCCTCTCATTCATCCACTCATCAACCTCTTAGGCTGCTCTTCCAAAGCAACCTAGGATCCCCTGTCCTCCTCCCAGTCTCTGGTCTCCAGCCCTGCCTGACCCCTGAGGGCCCTGAAACCTTGCTGATCCTCAGTTTACAGAGAGGGAAACTGAGGCACAGAGAGGCAAAGTAGTGGCCCAAGGTCACACAGCAGCAACAGCAAAGCTGGAATTAGAGGTCAAACCCAGTCATCTGCAGGGGTCTGGACTCCTTCCAATCCAATTCCACGAGATGGAGAGACAATATGTGCATATATTTAATATAATAATATAATATACACTATAAACATAATCAGTTATCATGTATATCAATTATCTACATACTTTTCCTTATCCTTTTCTTTTTCTTTTTTTAAAGATTTTGTTATTTATTTATTTATTTATTTTTAAAGATTTTATTTACCTATTTGAGAGAGAGAGCACAAGCAGGAGGAGCGGCAGGCAGCAGTAGAAAGAAGCAGGCTCCCTGCCGAGCAGGGAGCCTGATGTGGGACTCGATCCCAGGACCCTGGGATCATGATCTGAGCCAAAGGCAGATGTTTAATCGACTGAGCCAACCCAGGTGCCCTAAAAATTTTATTTATTCATTTGACAGAGAGAGAGAGCACAAGCAGGCCGAGTGGCAGGCAGAGGGAAAGGAAGAAGCAGGCTCCCCGCTGAGCAGGGAGCCCGATGCAGGGCTCGATCCCAGGACCCTGGGATCATGACCTGAGCGGACGGCAGACGCCCAACTGACTGAGCCACTCAGGCGGCCCTCCTTATCTTTTTCTTAGCATTTCTCACAGAACTCCCGGAAGTGGGAAAGATTCAGAGATTCAGCCCATTCCACAGAAGACAAAGTCGAGACCAGAACGCAGATGCTCAAGTCTGACCCTAGAAGCCAATCTCCCATTTGACAAGAGGGAAAGACTGAGGCACAGAGACACAGAACCTACCCCAGATCCCAGGTCCACAGCCCTCCACACACATGCCACCCAGCAAGAAGAGCCATGGTGTCAGGGTGGGGCACTCACCGCCTCGCCCTGGGAGCAGGAGCAGAAGGAGGGGGACCAGCCTGGCCCACGCCTGCTCCATTGAGCCCACGCAGTGGCCTGCAGGACCAGATGAACTTCTGCCAGCCACCCCGTCCTCGCCCCTGAACATGTTGAAGCTGAGTAAGAAAGAAGACTTAAAAGACTAAAAAAAAAAAAAAAAAAGTTAGGTATCATGGCCCCTCCTGGCGCAAGTCAAACTGAAAGAGAAACCCAGGAAGTCAGCTCGGTGGTGGTGGCCTCATCCCGGCCACAAACCCACCCGTGGGGCAAGTCTGACCCAGGGCCACGGATCTGGGGGTCTATTCTGCTGGCCGAAGCCCTAGATGGACAGAAGGTGCCAGCCCCATGAGTAGCCTGTTGCTCTGAGCCCTTGCCTTGGTCTCCAGCCCTCTCTAGCTGACTTCTGAGACTTAGGTACCAAATGGGAGCCCGGTGTTCTCCTATGTCTGCGTTCACTCTCCCAACAAATCGTTATGAAGTGTTTGCTCTCCACTGCCCCCTCCCCAAATGCCCCCTTCCCCGTTTCCCAAACTCCAGCCCCAGGGCACCCTGGGTCCCAGCTCCTGAAGAGCCCCTTTGCTTCCTTCAGACTAAGCTTTGTCTCTTCTCTGCATCTGTTTCTTGGCATCTGGCTGTCTCAGTTTCTGAATCTTTCTCCCCATTTTCTACAAAGGCCCAAAATGTCCATGGAGAAGGACTGATTCATGCTACAAAGTGGATGAACCTCAAAAACGTCATGCTGAGTGAGAGAAGCGAGACACAACAGCTCACATGTTGTACGATCCCAGGTACATGAAATGTCAAGAACCGGCAAATTCAAAGAGACAGAAAGATGAGTGGTTGCCAGGGGGTGGCAGATGGGCATTGGGGAGTGACTGCTAATGGGAACGAGTGTCCCTTTGGGGTGATGAGAATGTTCTGGAACTGGACAGAGGTGATGGTTGCAGAACATAGTCAAAGTTCTAAATGCCACTGTATTGTAGCTTTTAAAATGGTTAATTTTATGTTATGTGATTTTCACCTGTAAGAAAATGTTCATGGAGCACAAGGGGACTGAGGAGCATGGTGGGGGTCTCTTCTGGAAGAGCATCTGGGGACTGGGGCCCAGGTGGGCTGGGAGGAAGCCCAGTCTCAGAGGAGCCCTGTCCCCGGGGGCAGCTGGGCCAGTCAGGGTCAGGCGCCCAGAAGGCCATGAGGTCAGAGCCATGGGAACAAAGAGGCAGTGTCCCAGGCCTGGCACAGTGGGGACGGGGACCCCGTGACCCTGCACAGAGCAGCCTTGACTGGGAGTAGGGCCCAGGCCAGGCCAGAGGGTGGAGTGGGCTGCAGGACTGATGTGTGAGGCCTGGGGGAAGGGCAGAGACGGAGAGAGAGAGACAGAGACAGAGATAGAGACAGAGACAGAGACAGAGACAGAGATAGAGAAACATAAAGAAAAATGGAAGAGATGGTTAGAGATAGGGCCAAACCCTTGGCCTCCTCTCGAGGATCCTGAGACCCCTACCCCAAGAGACACCATCTATGTGTCCCATTTCACAGATGGAGAAACTGAGCCCTGAAGTGCCCAGACCCCTCGAGTCCCCAGCTGCACATGAAGAGATGGATTCAGACAGAGGGCTCCCCCCTCCTCCCCAGCGAGGCTGAGCTTTGCATCTCGGGAGTAAGGCTCATGCCCCAGGGCTGCCCCACCACCAAGGTTGGCCCCTCCAGGTCTCAGCTACCCCATCTGCAAAATAGGCGATCGTGAGGATAAAGGAGGGCTGGGCTCCTGGCAGGTAATGCCCACCAGGCAGCCGGTATAATTAATCATTTTGGGGGGCCCCCAGTGGCCTTAGCAGCTCTTTCCCAGCCCCCTCCAAAGTCAGAGCAGCTACTGGAAAGACACTGAGGGAGGGAGAAAAATGGAGGAGGGGGCAGAGCTGGACACAGATGCCCCCAGCTCCTCGGCATCAGGGCCGGGTGCAGGGAGGGGCAGAGGCTGGGGATGTCCCAAGGGGGAGTTCAGAGGGATGCCCAGAGAAGGGGGCTCTTGAACTCGTTTATGGAAAGAGCATTCCTGGCTGAGGGCACAGCAGAAGCAAAAGTTCAGGGGATGCTTTGGGGAACATCAAGATGAACATGGCAGGTCTGGGGCTCCACAGGAGAGACGAAGGTGCTAAGGCAGCCAAGGACCTCAAGAGCCAGGTTGAAGGGCTGGGCTTTCTCCCAAGGGCACTGGGGAGCCATAGCAGGTGTGTGAGCAGGTGAGATGGTGTTTCTACCCTTATCAAAGTCGGGATCTGAAGCTTGCCCCGAGGTTCACTACACTTCACCTTCCCCATGCCAAATCTGCACACCCAGACTGGCCTGCCTGCCCCCCTACTCCAGGAAGCCAGTGGCCTACTTGCCCCCTACTCCCGGAAGCCCTCAGGGTGCCTTTATGGGCCCCTTCCTGCTGCCCCAGAAACCCAGCTGGGATATGCCCCTAGGGCTGCCCCACTTTCAGATGCTTCACTAGCTGAGGGGAGGGGGAGGCAGGAAGGACTGGGTTAAAAGGGGCCCCCGGAAATGGAAATCGTGACAGGAGGGACCACAGAATTTCCCCACCCCCTCGGTTTCCGTCTTTCTTCCAGGGTGAGTGACCTGTAGTCGGAGGAGGGCTGAGCTTCTTTCCAAGTGGCCACGAGACCCTAATGCCCCCGGAGGGCATCTAAGGAGAATGTTGAAGGGTAAATAGCAGTTTGCAAGGCAAAAATCTGTTAGTTTGTTTATCAAACACATTTGTAGGCATCATTCACCAATAAGAACATTTTTCATTCATTCAACCAGAACTTTCTGATGCCTCCAGAGGATCATTTGAGGATGTTTTATTTTTTTTTTTAAGATTTCAGTGAGAGAGGGAACACAAGCAGGGGGAGTGGGAGAGGGAGAAGTAGGCTGCCCACGGAGCAGGGAGCCCGATGCGGGGCTCGATCCCAGGACCCTGGGATCATGACCTGAGCCGAAGGCAGATGTTTAATGACTGAGCCACCCAGGCGCCCCGAAGATGTTTTAAAGAATGCACAGAAGGGGCACCTGGGTGGCTCAGTCGGTTGAGCATCTGACTCTTGATTTCGGCTCGGTGGTGATCTTGGGGTCGTGGAATCAAGCCCCATGCCCAGCTCTGCGCTGGGCATGGAGTCTTCTTGTCCCTCTCCCTCTGCTCCTCCCACTGCTCTCTCTCTCAGATAAATAAATAAATAAAATGTTAAAAAAAAAAATAAGAAAGGCGCCTGGGTGGCTCAGATGGTTAAGCGTCTGCCTTCGGCTCAGGTCATGATCCTGGAGTCCCGGGAT